CTTCAGTTCATCTTTGTGTTTTTTGTTTTTGGTCCCTTGATCAACAGCGCCCCACATATAATAAAAAAGTGGGGGGGGTAGTCTGGGGAGTTAGGTTACCAGATGTAAGGACTGATATGATCGCAGAAATTGTCTGACTTGATTCCCCAGCTTGTGTGGCATGGTACAGAGTCCAGTTGCCAGACACAGCATATTCCAGCAGCTACTCTCTTGGTCCAGTGTGCATGTGTTAATGCTAAATTTCCAATTAACGTATGAAAGTCAATAATTTTCCTTTAATTATAATATAGACGTGTTTTATACGACAGACAGATGAGCGAACTACACACACACACACACATATACACACACATATATATATATATATATGACCACATTTTGAAGGATAATTTTAGTGGATACTCATATTTGAGTAGACCCTTCGTTTATTTATTAAACAGTATATTTATTTTTTGTATAAATCTTGTTAACGAAAATATGCTGTCTCCAGAAGAATTCGAACTTGCGCACCCACTGGCCATATAGAACCATCGAAGTCCGATGTGCTTTTAACCGATTGAGGTATAAAATTTAAAAAAACCTATATATATATATATATATATATATATATATATATATATATATATATATATATATATATATATATATATATATATATATATATATATATATATATATATATATATATATATATATATATATATATATATATATATATATATATATTTTCAAGTAACGTAACGTATGAAGATTAATCATTTTATTTTAATTATAATATGAAGGTTTTATGTAGTTCATAAAATTGTCATTTAGACTATAATTTAAGGCACATCTCTACTTGATTATTACCTCAATAAAATGAAACTAACGATGTTATAGTCGACTTTATCCATTTATCTAAGTCTGTCAAGTTTAACCAAGTGAGCCACACCTTTTTTCAGTTATTATTGCTATGTATTAGATATGGGAGAATGGTTTTCCCAAGAGCTCATTGTATCATTCTCTTATCTGTCATCCATTGTGGCGTGCTGGAAACAAGACATTTTTTATCAAGATATATTTCGACGAATCTGAATAGGGAATTCCTTTTTTAACCATCCACTAATGTTGTGGGTTGTTTAAAATTTTTTCCAGGATATTTGGCAAGTGGCAAGTCAAATTTATATGATAAGACAAGTAGTGTTCTAACTATATCAGTCAAGGAGGTTCTGATTTTAGTCATAATATTTGCGTCAATTACAAGCACATGGTTTTAAAGCAAAGATGGTCCGTAACGCAAACACCACTGAAAACGTCTTTTTTATTTCAGGAAAGTGAAGAATAAATAGTTGGAGAAGAGACAGATTGATAATAAATTTGAAAGATTATATTGGAATTATCTAGCAAGAAGATTAAGAGCTAAATAATATATCTATAATATTTTAAGTTGTAGGTTTAAAAAAAAAATACCACGCTAATAATATTGTGACAATGCTATACATTACCAATAGAAGGTTATGATCATTAGTAAGAAGTGAACAAACTCAGTTGAAATTCGAACACACTTCGTTACGGAAAGAGGTCGTATATTCCCACACGACTATGTGTGTAGGTTCATGCACACGTGTGTGTAGTTACTTTAAAAAAATATACAGGAACAGTAATAAAGAGAAGAGACATGTGTGTAAATCAGAAATTGTACTAGAAGTTCGTTCACCTCTCCTCAAACATTTCCTCGCATTTACTGTATAAGGACATGTCCGTACCATAAGGGAATATTTCTCTATTCTTGGCTTCCAAAGTGATCTATCTATCTATCTATCTATCTATCTATCTATCTATCTATCTATCTATCTATCTATCTATCTGTCTACATCCCTCTGTTCATTATCTATCTATCTATCTATCTATCTATCTATCTATCTATCTATCCCTATCTATCATTATCTATCTATCTATCTATCTATCTATCTATCTATCTATCTATCTATCTATCTATCTACATCTATCTGTTCATTTATCTATCATTATCTATCTATCTATCTATCTATCTATCTATCTATCTATCTATCTATCTATCTATCTATCTACACCCCACTGTTCATTATCTATCTATCTATCTATCTATCTATCTATCTATCTATCTATCTATCTATCTATCTGTCTGTCTACACCCCTCTGTTCATTATCTATCTATCTATCTATCTATCTATCTATCTATCTATCTATCTATCTATCTATCTATCTATCTATCTATCTACACCCCTCTGTATATTATCTATCTATCTATCTATCTATCTATGCGTGTATATGTGTGTGATTATGAGGCTGAGACTTGCCTCCAACTTTTCAACTATTGTCTGACGATCGCAAATAGCGTGAAACCCAGGGTCACAAATTCACATCAATCCAACTAAATATGTTAGCTCTATCACTGATATCGAGCGCTTTCCAATAAGTACCACGCATGATATATAAATAATATATGTATATATACATATATATATATATATATATATATATATATATATATCAATTGCATATATATATATATATATATATATATATATATATATATATATGTGTGTGTGTGTGTGCTTACATACACATTTTTACATATATATTGAAGATTTAAGAAACAGTAGATATTTTAAATGAAAAATCTTTAAAAATTGGAAATACCGTTTAAAACCACAACCCATGAAGAATGGAAATTTTACCAAGAAACATTGATGTCGGGATAAAATTGATATTTAAAAGTTAAGTAATCTTTTTCGCACACACATACACACACAGGCACACACACAGACATATATATATATATATATATATATATATATATATATATATATATATATATATATATATAATAAAAAGGCTTAAACACTAATATTCCATGGTCATAATTTATTCCATTGGAATCGTAAATACGATCCAATTCATCAGACCTACAAATTCAAAAAGGAAACAGAAAAACAACTCTTTTGCATATGTATGTATATTTACCACAAATATCTATCTATCTATCTATCTATCTATTTATTATCTATCTATCTATCTATCTCTCTCTCTCTCTATATATATATATATATATATATATATATCTTAGTGATATTTGAGTCCTATTGCCAGACATGAAGGTCTTCCACCAGCTACCTGCATGTGCTAAACTAAAATGTAAAATGGCAACAATTTATCCACTGAAGTGTTTAAATATATATATATATATATATATATATATATATATATATATATATATATATATATATATATAGAGAGAGAGAGAAAGACGGGCAAATTTCAATGAAATGTCGTATGCCTGTTTCAATAATATGCTTTTATTGAGCCTCGTTCGGGCGCGTTGATGACATTCCCTCCCATGAACCGCAAGAAAAACATTCATCTTTTATTCGTTTATTTACGCGCAATAAACAAATTGCTTATCATTCCGATCCCGGTATTACTAATATTTCCTTGACTGTCGTTGCAAACACAACACATTTAGACAGAATGCAGATACATTTCTTTTCACTCGCTTGTTTCTTAGTCTGCAGATTTCACCATTAATCCAAGTCATCAAACAGCTTCTCTTTCTCATATCTGATGTTAATTCTGCGCTTCTGATACGATTTTTGCCTAGCAAACCTATCCCATCACCACCCTTATTGCCTCTCTCTTCACTATCATGCGCATTGTGTTTTAACATCCATAATTCATGACTAGTGACCGACACACTTTGGGTCCCGATAAAGCATAAAAGCAATCTTGTCTGTTCGTATGGAAAAAAAGTCCACATTGGAAGTAGCAAGACAACAATACTAAATATTTGGAATTGTTTTCCTTAAGGCGCCTTGGTAATGCGAGAGGAAAAAATTCGGTTGTGTAGCTAGTATGAATATAATATCAGTGAGGGGCGTCTTGCCGTGGGGTAATTATTAGCAAGCTTGTCTCATAGATCATTGCCCGTGAGTAGCGTGTCCTATCGTTTCTGGATGAACCACACTTGAGACCCTCTGTTCTAATAAGCAAACTTAGTAAATAATTATATATAAACTAGTGTACCCGTTACAAATGACGGCAATTGTTAGAAAGTTTCAATAGCGAAACCAACGTCTTGAAACAATGTATTAAGATTCAATAAAGAGGAGATAAAAGGATTCACAGCCAAAATAGAGGCTAATGAATACGTTACTTTTTTTTTTATTTCTTAGACGTTTAATAGTATCTATAATTCACTGATTACTCCTGGTATTATAGCGATTTTCCAAGCCTAGCTTACATGTGACACAAGGCCGAAAATAGGGAGTACCCGTGAGGATCGAACTCACTACTCAGTCGTAATTATTCTAGCGAGACAAGCTTGCTAACCATTACACCGACTCGTGCGGCTCATTCTTCTTGTATTACATAAGTCGCTTTTTTCCTCAATATCTTTTCATGTTAAGACTGCTGTGTTTAATATAATAGGGAAATGAAAATATCTATCAGAAAAAAGATGAACAGGAGAACGACAAAACAGCGAGAACAAAACCTATTTTAAGATCAAATTGAAGCTTGATCACTTAACAAACAAAAGTATCTGAGTACCTCTCATGAAAGTCATGAACAACTAAGATTGCAATCTAAGAAACGTAGGAGTAAAGGAATTGATTAATTAAACGGTTCATTTTGCTCGTGAACTAATTTTGTCGATAATGTAGATAAATATTTTATTTGTATAGATTATTAAAACGACTAAGGGAAGTAATCACTCATAAATTTATTAACTTAAGTTTTGCAGGTTATTTAAAGCCAGAAAATATTTTTAGATTCTAAGAATTTTTGATGGAGATAATAATTATTTACTGATACCAGTCTTACAATTAACCCATAACTAGGAGAGAAGAGTTGGATTCATACCGTCCCCAAAAGCACTTGCGCGTAAGAGAAGATAATGAACCCGACTGGAATTGGAACTTAGCTCTCTGATTTCCAATTTTGAGCCGTTATAAATTTTACCACCCACATATCCAAGCTTACAACAAGCGATTACCGATTTGTGTACTGACCAGGCTCGACGTTGCTTAACTTCGGTGATCGTACGGGAACCGGTGTTTCAACGTGTTATGACCGTAAGTTCGTCTAGTATAGTGTTGTGGTAGGATCCACCTAATTTGCATAATGGAGTACCGACCATATAAATATGGTTGGTACCGGGAAGAGAGGGAGGAATCAAGAGATTCAACCAGAGACTCTGCCCGACTGCGACTCAGTCAACACATTCTCCAGGAACGGTCTTCCCAAGAATATACAAAAGAAAATATGTAAATATTGTGTGTATATAAATAAAAAGAAAGAACAGTAAGATATAAAATCCGGTGTTCTTATAGATATTTTTATTTTTACAAAATAGTGCTCAATGTCAATTTACAGAGCATTAATATTATAAATTAATTAATTTATAATATTAATGCTCTGTAAATTGACATTGAGCACTATTTTGTAAAAATAAAAATATCTATAACAGTAGTACCCGATTTCTGTTTTTACGGCTGTCAGTTGATTGGTTTTTTTTATTTGTATCACTGTGTACAAGAAAGAAGGGAATTAATGAAAAAGATCGGACAGAAAACTCAGGCACTGTGCAAAGTTGTTTTAGTAAATGTTTCGAAGCCGCAATGCGTTGATATATTTAAAGTTAATTCATGGTTCAATAACTTTCCAATGACCCGATAAACAAACAAAAAATTAACAAGCTACCAAGCAGATATTATTATTTTTCTATGCTCCATTGGCGATCATGGCTCTCCACAACTCCCTGTCCTTGGTAAACCTTAGTAAAGTTTGTCTTTTTGTTTTATCTTCTAATTCCTTTTCTGCCAACCATTTACGCAAGTTCGTTAAGTAAGTTATGGGCTGCTTTCCTCTGTTTGTCTTGCCTTCAACATATTCTGTGAGTGTTAAATTTTCTAAGCCTTCTTTCCTAATGATGTGGCTTAGAAATTCCAACTGTCTTTTTCTGATGCTGCATATAAGTGTCTTATTTGTTTTCATTTTCTCTAAAACTTCGTCGTTGTTCAAGTGTTCAGTCCATCCCAGAATCTAGGCGATACTTTCATCTTATTCTAGATTTACAATTTCGAAAACAGAAGGTATCAACTATTAAAAATATTCAGAGAGATTGAAAATTAAATCCCTATTTTAAAATACTCATAATTTATTTGTTAACTATAATTTTTACAAGAAATTGATATGAGAGGAAAGCGTTTAGCATGAGGTTTTATTTAAAATTCGATATGGGCACCAGATTTCGCTACAAGCTTCTCTAGCCGCCCAGGAATCGCGTTAACTGATTTTACCAGGAACTCTTATGGTATGGAAGACATAACTTCTTGTATTCGTCCTTCAAGTTCTTTCAAAGTCTTGGTTTGGTTTAGTAGACTTGCTTCTTTAACCAACCCGAAATAAAAAAGTCACAGGTTTTTAAGTCAAGACTCCTGGTTGGCCACTCATACATAAAATAGAGAGTTAATTCTCAATCACCCTGTACAAAGCCGTGAATAAAATTTTTAAAAAATGAACACTGGGATATGAATATTTCTATTCTTATGATTCTATTCTTCTTTCTTTTACTTCTTGCAGTATCACTCCCCATTTACTCGAACCAAAGCCTAACGCCTCTGACCTGTGTTGACGCAAATCAACGTCAACTAGAGCCGTGTCCGGATAAATGAGATTAGAAAGTATAGGGTTTTGAATTTCATTCATGAATATAAACATTGTTTGCAACGTGGCAAACGCAAGGGTTAAAACTGCTTAAGATTTTGCTAATGTAGACGAAGTCAGGCCAAGATTCGGCCTTGTCGTTGTCAATTTGCTCAATTTTCTTTTTTCGGCATTGGTACATCAATGCCGTTAACATTTATATCTGTAAAATGAAATTAAAAAAATGTTAATCGGGAAAAAAGTTAAAAAAAAAACGTAGTGTTACTTTTTACACTGGATTAAAAAGATATTTTATTTAGAATAAAGTTTAATGGGGATTTTATTATGCCTAGCTTAGATGTGGCACACGTTCGAACGTATGAAGCATCCTGTGAGTATCAAATTCTCTAATCAGTTATAACAAGCGTTACACCAAGGTGATAATCTAAGTGTAGCTTACATGTGGCAGGCTAAATGTATGGGACAACCAATGGGGACTGAACTCACCATTCATTCGTAATTGATCTACCAAGACAAGCGTGCTAATCATTACACCACGTGAAAGTGCCCAAAAGATTTTCCAAGCGTAACTTAGATGTGGAACAAGGCCGAACGTGTGGAGCACCCAGTGAGGATCGAACTCACTACACAATCGTAATTGATCTACCAAGAAAAGCGTGCTGACCATTACACCACGTCGAAGTTCCCAAATGATTTTCTAAGATGTGGCACAAGGCCGAAAGTGTAGACACCTAGTGAGGATCGAACTCACTATTCCGTCGTAATTGATCTAGCAAGTTTGGTAACCATTACACCACGTGAAAGTGCCCAAATGATTTTCTAAGATGTAGAGCACGAAAGTGAGGATCGAACACACTACTCAGTCGTAATTGATCTACCGAGACAAGCTTGCTAACCATTACACCATGATTGGTCAGTTGATTTCATTTAGCAGCATATCGACCTCCACGTGTTATTTAATGCCGAAATCTAAATATTTTGAACGTAATTATATGCCTTCAACTACATATAAAATGTATTGTTGGTAATTTTGCTATAAATAGATATTGTTGGTTGTTTGATTTTGTTTAGCGACATATCAATATCTACGGGTTATTTTATGCCAAAATCTAAATATTTTGGACGTAATTTTATGCGTTCCGGTACAGATATTTTGTATATAATTTTATACTTTCAGGGTAACGGTATGTTTTTAAATATATATTTTGTAGATCATAAAATGTATTGTTGGTAATTTTACTATAAAAATGTATTTTTTAGTGCTGCATTGATTGTCCTTTGCCTGTAAAAATATATTGTTGGTCGTTTTATTATAAGAATATACAGTTGATTTTTGCTTGGGGGTTCACTATTTGCCCATAGCTGGGACCTTAACAGGTGCTACCACCCAGATCAGAGTAGACCCGAGAACAACAGCAATTTAGAGGTGGTTTCACGCTCCTCAAACCGCCAATCTTCTGATCAGAGGCCTTGCTACCGGAAGTAGTTTATCGACATACCAAAGACGAATTTTACACCAGGAGTACGTGCCTAAATCAGATATGAGAATATCGCTGTGGGGTAATCATCAGCAAACTGATCTGAAAGATGATTACTGGTAAGTAGCGCGTTCGTGCCTCATATATGTGGCCATCTGTCATAAGTAACAAACTAAGTCAATAATTATATGCAATCAGCGACTTACCTTGTAGTCGAATTATTGCCTATGTTCCGAAGTTCATATTCAAGCCCAGGCAAAGTCAGGGTATTTTTTTTAGTTTTTTTTTTTTTTTTGTTGATTCCCTTTCTATGGCTGATCAATAGGTTATCTAAATAATATTATTCATTGATACAAGTCTTACTAATTAACCCATAGCTGAAGGAGAAGAGGTGGATTCATACCTTTCCCAAGGGTATAGACGCTTAAATGAATATAACGAACCCAAAGGGAATAGGAACTCGGCTCTCCTATTAACAAAAACGAACTATTATCCATTACACCACCTGCACATCCAAGTTTACAGCATCTGTTAATTGCAAGCGGTCACTCATCGAGATACTGACCAGGTTCGCCATTGCTTAACTTCAGTGATCGTACGAGAACCGGTGTTTCAACGTGATATGGCCGTAATCAGAATTTCGAATTGATTTTTCTAGACCAGGATACTAGTTTCTAAGTGACTTTCTTTTTCTCACTTGATTTAGTGTAAAAAAAATTCCAGTTACTCTTTACCTTTTTCTTTAATTCAATTTAACCCAGGTAAGGCGATAATGCCACTAAGACATAAGGGTCTACTGGTAGTGAAAGAGAATGAGAAGATTTTAGAAGGAGCCAGAAACACAATCCTGAACAGTGAAAAAAGAGTAAACCTCTACTCCTGTTCAAAAGACTGGAGGAGCGTTAATTGGACGATAGGCAAACCTATCAACTCCTATTGGGGCAAAAAGGTTCAGTCGGAGACATCAGAAGTATAGTGTAAAGTAAACTTTAGAAGGAACCAGAAACCCAAACCTAAACATGAAAAAAGGGATACTACCAATATCTGCCTATATTTCTGAGATGAGGTATTATGTACATTATTTACATTATTCGGACTATTGTCCTCATCTTTGTCGCCATATTTATTACAACTTTTCGTCCGTTGTACTTTCCGGCCTTCTTCAAGGACACATGGCACAGTGGATAAAGGCGTTGGTTAGATCCATTGACAGCACCCAAAGAGTGTGAGTTCAATACCTGGATAAGGCAGTGGAGAACTTGGAGAGGGAAATTAAGCAGGAGATAACCGATGACTGACATCCATTAGACATGTCACGTGGAACTAGAACAGTCTACCCCAGCTAGCGAAATAAAGGGTTCAGTTTGACATTCCAACCACCTGAAGAAGGCCGGAGCATACAACGGCCGAAACGTTGGGATAAATATGGCGACAAAGATGAGTACAATAGTCCGAATAATGTAAATAAGGGATACTACTACTTCTACTCATGTTCAAAATACTGGGGAGGAGTATGGACCGAACAATGGATGAATCTATTTACTCCTATTAAATCTTCAGGTGTTGCTTAGGGGGACTTGTAGAAAGAAGAAGTAAAAGCCATTGTTATTGTAAAGGAATAGAAATTTACAGGATATTTCATGCGGGAAATTTACAACAAATCGACTCAGAAAGGCGGTGAATAAACGTCACTTGTCATCTGTAGGCTCAGGAGGAGACAGTCTTCAAGATAAACTGATTAAATCACTGGTTTTGCTGTCTCATCTCGGTAAAGTCTTGAGATAATTGAGAATTGGCACACAGGCTGATCGCATTTATATTCCAATGATTTCAATTTGAAAATAAAGCCTACTTCTGATGGTTATCCCACAATTTTAATACCACACCAAGTTATCCGAGATCTGTCTGAAAAAGAACCAGTCATTTAATATAAAGCTGGAAAAAAAAAGAAGCCTTCCTATGGAAATGGCCTCTTAGTTCCCTTCAGAGAACGCGCCTTTCAACATCATTTACTTATCCCAGCTGTTCTTCCGAATTTTCAGAATTTTTCTTTCAGAGTTTTGTTTCGGGATTACCATCAGCTGCCTCGTCACGCTCTCCGTAGTGTACAGGGTGTCGCTAAAATCTGAACGCATAGGAAATCTCATTAACTATATATATATATATATATATATATATATATATATATATATATATATATATAAAAAATGCTTAAACACTCATATTCCATGATCAAAATTTATTCCATTGGAAACGTAAATACGATCCAATTCATCAGACCTACAAATTCAAGTATGTGTATATTTACCACTATTATCTATCTATCTATCTATCTATCTATCTATATATATATATATATATATATATATATATATATATATATATTACCTCTACAGATTAAACATGGTTGTGTCGAAAGAAGAAAGAATTGACTTCTTATTTCTAGGGAGAAGGTGTACTCAATGAAAATCACAGATGCAACAAACTTGATTAAACGCATAATGGTTGAATGTTCTAAATTTAACGACAATGTGGAGTTATTGCATCGAGTTCACGTGAATCTTGCAAAGGACATCAAACTTTGCATCACAAATGACGGAAATCACATCGAAGACGTTATTTGTTAATATTCCAATTCAATAAAATGTTGAAAATTTCATTTCTTGAAAATATGCATAGGGATATCCATTTTTTTTTTTTTTGGTGGGCGGGGATTATAGAGCTTGAACGGCAATTTTGAGTTTTGGAAAGAGCTAAAAGTCGCAATGGCATCATATCGAAATCTCTTCAGGAGATTCGAAGATCCTTACACATTCGGTCGTAGTGAATACGATGCTCTCAGAAGACAGTCTTATTTAGTGGAATCTCAATGCCGACTGAGTATACCCTCTGATTTCCTTCCAGGTTGCATCGAGAGCGCGCAACCAATTCTCGAGATATTAAAGAAATAACTTTCCAGACAAACTTGGTAGAGTCAATGACGGCAACATAATCGATAACTTAGAACTTCATATTCTTCCGATTCCTCGAGGAATTCAAAGTTCTATCTTTCTTTTTCTATGACTCTGTACGTGAATTACAACACGACACAAAGAATTTATACTGTTTTGTTTTTAATAGAAGAGAAAAATGCCTTTTCTAACATCAGTTCCTTGTACCGTTCTAGTCAACACCTGGCTTCACAGACTATACTCTATCTACACAAGTTAAATCCTATCAAAAATGGAGTACTGCTACTATATATGGGCTGGAATTGCCTAATCCTCACTTTCCAGCATTGAGTTCATATGAGTCTCTGTGACCTTATGGGTAATTGATTATTCTCCGTTCTACAACCCACAGACAAAACATCGAAAGCCCTCACTACTCTATCGCTATTCCCATGACAAATGTTCCGATGAACTACATCCCCCAGTTCCCCCAGTTCAGACCTTCACAGCTAAGACTCGCCATGCCACTTACACTGGACTGAATCATCTCCATTCCCTTCGTATTCCATTAGTAAGGAGGAAGTTCCCCTCGGACAGCTTCTTCCCAAGAACTACTACTCCTTTTTTTTTGGTAGCACACATCGCCCAGTGGATAAAAGCGTTGGTTGAGTAATCCAAAAAGTGACTTGACCCAAAGAGTTGTGAGTTCAATACCTGTCCACAGCAGAGAAGAACAAAAACTTGGAGAGTTGAGTTACTAAAGACGATAAACTGATGCTGTGATGTCCAAAAAAGGCATGGCACGTGGAACCAGAACAATCTACCCCTGTGGACTAAAAAAGAAGGGTTTGGATGGAAATTCCAACATATATCACCTGAAGAAGGTCAGAGCGTACAACGACCGAAACGTCGTGAATATGGCAATAAAGATGAGTAGAACAGTCCGAACGATGTAAATAGTGTGAATTGGTATGATATATTTCACCTTCTCGGGCTAACGTTTTCCGCTGACCTGAAGTGGAAAGATTTTATTGAATCACTTGCTAAATCTGCTGCTAGGAGAGTTCACTGAGTCGTGCGGGAGATGCATTTTTTTTTCTCGTCAGAATCTATCTTTCATATTTATAAGTCTACCCTTCGTCCATCCATTGAATATTGTTGCTATATATGGTCTGGGACTTCTGCTATATATTTAGAGATTCTTAATAAAATATAAAGAAAAATCTGCAATATTATTGGTCCTAACCTCACATCTCGGTTTCGGTGACGTTCCCATCACCGTAATGTAGCTTCCCTTTGCCTTTTCTATAAATATTTTCATGGCAATTGTTCTGATGAACTTTCCACTTTGGTACCTAGACTTTATGAATTTAAGCGTACTACTAGATTGGCGGTAAGGTTTCATTATTTTACAGTTAAAATGGCTAGATCTAACCGTAAGTTCTATGCTAACAGTTTCTTCTCTCGCACTTCTCATGTGTGCAACTTACGACCGGTTGCTTGCTTTCCAGTCGAGTTGATCTTCAAAAATTTAAATACAATGTCAATCGTTATCTTCTTAATCTATGTTCTTTTATTGTTCTCTTTTCTAAATAATGCTTTCTTTTTCTCGTATTCTCTCACACTCATCTTACTGACCTTATTGCCTATATATATATATAATGAGCCCAGTTATTAGAGTACGATAAAAAGTAATGAAAATTGATTAATAATAAAAAAAGCTGATTTTTAAGGCAGACAGACTCTTTCCCCAGAGATAGACGCTGCATATTCTTGACCGACCTCATTTAAACTTGTTCCGAACTAAGCTGAAATGTCCTTCCTAATCATATTATTCATATCTCCTGGGTCATAAACCCAAAAGCAGGAATATATTGATTGCTATATACGCTACAGTTCAAAAGTTTGTGGACACCCCTGGTATTTTTTTAAAAATTAGTCCCAAAATATTTATTTGATATATATATATATATATATATATATATATATATATATATATATAGAGAGAGAGAGAGAGAGAGAGAAATAGATAGATAGATAGATAGATAGATAGATAGAGAGAGAGAGAGAGAGATAGATGTATGTGTGTGTGACAGACTTCATTGATACAACAATAATTAATCTGAAAAAGTTCGTCACGTGATGACTTTTTCTATTTTGTCTTTAGTTACCGACACATATATATATATATATATATATATATATATATATATATATATATATAAGAGAAAGTTATTATATATGGTTAAAAAAAGTGAGACATGATATTTTTTATTAGAAATTTTATTATGACAAAAAGAAAAAAAATATGATTAAATTTTGCTCTCATGAAAATATCCCACTTTAGCCTTGATTACTGCAGCACAAACTTTTGGCATTGTTTGATAATTGGTTCCATTCTTTTTCAATGACTCTAAGAGCTCTTTTTCATTTTTTTTGTTTTTTTTAGCTCTTTTGTCGCGTTCATCATATACTAATTCTGGGTGGTGGCTTCAAACTATTGAACTGTAGTGTATATAGTGATTTTTCAAAGTGTACCTAAGATACGCAGCTTCCTTGATATTCCACCCTATTTCAGATAAAAGAGTAGGAAGGAAACCTCAGTGGATAGAGCGATAATAGCTACTACACTTATTAAACTATTTTCTCGATAACTATTTTAAGAGAAAGAACGAGAGATAATAGCGACTTGACTATTTTC